AAAAAAAAAAAAGGATCTGTTAACTGTAACAAGTAGAGCCGATAAGCCGTTGCATTGCCCCACCCACCCCCCTCCCCAAAGTATTTAGCCAAATTCACATCCCCATTGGGGGTTGAATAATTTTTGGACACGAGTGTCGTCCCTCTGATAAAAAAAATTTGGTCTTCGTGAAATTTCCCCTCGTATCCACTTATCATAAGTTTGCATGTTACCTAATTAAAAAGTTACGTGCATACAACATGACAGGTTATTAGTTTTTAATGGATAAAAAAATTGTTGCTAAATATTTACAACTGAAATCAATAAATACACGTCTAACGTGTATAATGCGTTTATCCCGTGCGCAGCATCTTTCCGAGAAGCTTCAATCTCCCGATCGGGACGACGAGTGTCTTCGGTATCGTGAGAACGTCCACCAGGACAAGACTCACTCCTGGAGTAATTCGTTCCCCGATACTTGTCACGTCTTGGTCTCCTAAGATGTAATCTCTATTTACGGACCGTGAATTTAAATCGCGTCTTCGGCCGTCGATACGAATAAACGTACGTATATATGTAATAGGTATCTGGATAAACGTATGTAACAAACGTTTTTGTATATCTATAGCTACTGCCAATAACTAATAGGGAGGGAGAGAGAGAGAGAGAGAGAGAGAGAAAGAGACTGAACTCATTTCCACATATGACGCGTAACAAGTTTAATGGAATATCTGGAATTCCAAGAAACAAGGGTGGAACCGACTGTACGGTGCTGTTGGAGTAAAACCACAAGTCTGGATAAAGTCAGGGTGCACGACTACCCCTCTCCCACCCCCCCCAAAAACCACCCTTACTTGATTACACCGTATACCAGTAGAGTCCCTCGACGTTATCTAACCCGCTGAACTTGATTGCAAGTACAGATACAGTATACAGGGAGGACTTATATCTGCTGTATCCTATAAGGGTTGCAACTACCCCTTAACAATATATCGTAGATCCCAACCCCTTTGGTGTCTACGTCTGTTTAGCCGAACTTACATCGCTCTCTGACTTTGCTGCAGCATCATTCGCCGAGCAGGTCCAGGCCAACACAGTCATCCCCTGTATAATGGACGAAAGACGAAGTTCACCCTTTGTGCTTGATTTTTGTATCCTAAGATGGTCACAGGCCGGTGACTTGGTTTACGTGTGGTATCTTACCTTGATATTATCCAGACTGGAGTTTATGGGACTCCCGTGTATGGGGCTGCGTCTGTCTATGCCCATATGGCGTTGCCTATGGGGGTGTTTAGTATGACGGGTAGCTGCAGTCACTCGAGCATACCTGACTTTTGGCTTCGTTCCATTCTCTTGGGAATTCCCATGCATTGTGCCTCTACGAGAGTAAAAGTTGCGATATCGAGTCTCCAGGAGTATAAATAGGGTAGGGATTCGGGTCGTTATATATTACATATATAGTTTTTATCTACGACCCTCCACAAATTTCCATGCCAAAAGCGAGGAGCGCCTCATTGAAATTGCAGGA